ACTGTGTTCCAGGCATGGAAACTTACATGCAGTGAAGTCATAAGGTAGGCAAGGCTGCCACTATCCAGGCCACTGAATTCTTGGGGGACACCAGGTCATTTCATGGTTAACAAATACAATTATTTTAGATAATGTTAAGTGTTCATGAAGAAAAAGAAACTGTGGTCAAGAGTTTTCTAGGGGATAACATATAAAGTCTGAATTTGATGTTCTTTCATGATTTCTTTCCTGCTGGGTATGGTAATCCTGAGAGTTGACCTTCACTCCAGGAACACCTCCATGTGAGTAATCAGAGCACCCTTTCATCTGGATATGCAATGCCAACCCCTGAGAAGATTTTCTGCAAACTTCTCTGCCTGTAACTTCTATTATAAAGCCCCTGCTTTCTTCAGCTCCAAGAGCATAGCTGTTGTTCATCTGCTCCTGCTGAAAGGGGACTTCTGGGAACACTGAAAGCACCTTGATCCCGTTAATGGATTGTCTCCTTTTTAAACTTTCACCCAAGGATATTTTTCCATTTTCAGATAGGGAGGGAGGGAGGAAGGGAGAGAAACATCAATATGAGAGAAACACATCAACTGGCAGCCTCCTGCACGACCCTAAGGGCAGGGATCAAACTGCAACTGAGGTATGTGCCCATGACTGAAATTGAACCTGGAACTCTGGTCTGTGGACCAGCCCTCTAACTGCTGAGCCAAACAGGCCAGGGTGAATCGTCTCCATTTAAGGAAGTCATCCTGCAGAACAGGATGGAACATTCCCTGAATGTTCAATCTTGTGAACATCTCCCCTGAACATTTTTCTGTGGCCCGTTACCACTTTTGTCATTAAAGCACCTTTGATTCTGAACTCGAAACAGATGAGACAAGATTGCCATACCCAAAGGATGACCATAGGCAGGGTGAGAGAATTCTATGAGTTGACCTAGCCAGAGGTTCCAAAACCAATTATAGCTAGCTCTCTCCAGGACCACCTAGCCCTGTTCAAGGGGAAGAGAGCCTTGTCTTCCTGCTCCTAGCTTGCCTTGTATAACTGAAGCCATCTTTACTCCCTAATGCTCAAAGAGGCCTTTCCAGGTTACTTCCAAACCCATGGAGAGCAGCCAGGCCACTGATTTGTAGCAGCCACCTTACCACGACATACCCTTAGGTACTGCCTTTGCAGGCCTCAGCAAAATATCCATGCCTTAATACAGTACAGTGACCACACCACCTCAGGCAACTGAGACAAGGACAAAAATGCCTCCCACTCTGGTTCTTTGGTTCTACCAACTAAGGTGCCCTCACTACCAGATAGTCCAGGAGAAGTTAGGAAGTGGCAGGGCTCTTGGGTGGTTATAGCCCCTTTGCACAGTGCTCTTGATTTCTGTGGCTGGCTTGGATTTCCCATGGCCATCCAAATTCTTTGTCTGTTTAGTCCGCAGTAGCTACAGGTTCTGGAGAAACACTTAGAAAGGCTGCCTGCTGGGGCAGCAGGATCCTGACAGACAAGCCTAGTTGCTCCATATCTGAAGCTTTGTGTTGGCTTGTACTTTGAGGCTTCCTCTCAGCTTGACTTGACTTTAGGGTAGAGAAAATCAAGGGCCTATGCAACCTTGTAGAAGACTGCTGCCTAGACAAGATGGCCATCTCTGAGTTTTGATACTCTTTTCTAGGGTAAGAGCACTTGTGCAGTTGAGAGTCTAGAGTGGTCTGCAGCAGGGAGTTGGTGGTAGGGACCCTGACCCCTGGCTCTTCCTTTATTCTGTAAATGGTTCAAGAAGGCCCATTCCTAGCAGCCCATCACCAAAAGGTTATAGGGCCAACTGCCCTACAGACCAGAACCAGATGTCCCTTTCTGACTGATGTAGGACATCAGTATAAACTCGTTACTGTGTTGTACTCTGTTAAGAGATAATCGCATTAACTTTTAAATGCCCATGTGGAAGTGGCGAGTTCAAGGGAGAGGCAGGATTTCCATTCTGCCAAGCGAAGCCATACGTCTGCAAAAAAGACACAAGAATGAAAAGCCTCTATGTCAAAGTGAAAATGTTTGAAATCAAGATCTTAGTCCTGTCCTTACCACCTTAGCATGCATGATCTGAGTCAGTTTGCAATTGTGTAAAGTGACCAGTAAGATGTTTATAGTATGGTTATGAAGAATAACACAAATTAGACCACTAGGAAAACAAAATTCACAAGCGTTAGTGGTTGCTACTGAGGTCTTACAGCCAGGAACCATGCTGCTTCCTGTGCAGAACTAAGTATGTCCCCAGCCATGGCAACCAGAGCAGCTCTTGCCCTGGACGGCAACCCCCAGTGAAGCCAGGGCTTTCTATGCACAGGAAAGCTGGCTGTAGCCATGGCAATGGCCCTTATGCCTGCCTTTGGTACTGGAAGCAGGTTTTCAAGCCCAGTAAGAACCTCAGATGCATGCAGAAGCCATTGCCTCGAAGCATCCTTGATGCCCAAATACACAGGACTTGAATGTGGAGACATGGTAAGCCCCTAGAGGTCAATTTCCTTTTCTTTAACTTTACAGTTTGTGTATCTTTTCTCCCCTTCTTCAGCCTACTCTAGCCCTTGTGCGCAGAAAAAAAAAAAAAAGATTACATTCATGTGATACTGTATGGTTACCACTCACATATATGAGACTCAGGTCACTGACTCTCCTAAGGTCACACACATCTGATGCTGAAACCTACTCTTCCCATCACTGCCTGCATGAGCTTACATGCATCTTGTGGCAGGGTCGCCCAACCAGGTGTGCTGTGCTCAGTTCTGAAGCTGCTGGTGGGATCAGAATGGAACTGAATGGCAGCAGTTGATTTAAAATCCCAAAATGAAAGTCGTAACAATTTGTGGTCAGGGAAAAGGATGGTTCAGGAAGGAGACATTTAATATTTTATACCATATGCTTGCTTATTTTAATTATGAAAATAAATTTAAAAGCGAAATTATTAAAATGAGAAACTGGTCCCTCCATGTCATCTCAAAGGGTAGATCTTTCTTACAGCTGCATAGTATTCCATTGTGTATATATACCACAGCTTTTTTTTTTTAAACCCTCACCGGAGGACATTTTTGCATTTATCTTTGGATAGCGCTGGAGGGAGAGAAGGAGGAAAGAGAAGCATCTATGTGAGAGAGACACATCCAGTGGTTGCCACCCACATAACCCCAACCAGGGCTGGGGACAAACTGCAACCGAGGTATATGCCCTTCGCGGGAACCAAACCCAGGACTCTCTGGTCTGATGGCCGATGCTCTAACCGCTGAGCCAAACCGGCCAGGGCATACCACAGCTTTTTTCACTCATCTATTGAGTCACTCATCTATTGGTGGACACTTGGGCTATTTCCAGATCTTAGCTATTGTAAATAGTGCTGCTATGAACATAGGGGTACATTTTTCTTTCTGATTGGTGTTTCAGGCTTCTTAGGGTATATTCCTAGAAGTGGGATTACTGGATCAAATGGCAGTTTAATTTTTTTGAGGAAACACCATATTGTCCATAGAGGCTGCACCAGTATGCATTCCCACCAGGAAACCTATATAATTTTAATAACTAATTTCATCCCCGTAAATTCAATAAAAATTTTAAATTAAAAACAAAAAGAGAAAGTTCCTTTGCAGGAAGCTCCAGATTCATGGTTCTGTGGTGAGAGTAGATGGTTACCATTCATTCAATGTCTCCTACCAGCCTTAGGAAACCTCCCTTTCTGCCTGGCGCTGTGCACTAAGTGCCTTGCCATCCAATGAGATCAGGGCATACTCGTCTAACTGCTTCCAGCAGGTTAGGAAGGCTTCACGGAGGGGAAGGTGGTACAAACAGCTTTCTGGGTTGAGTTTGCCAGGCAGACCTGAAGAAGAGGAAACACCAGGCGGAGCAAATAGACTGTAGCAGTAGTTCCAGTGAGACAAACAGGCTTTGAACCAAGGTAACCCCATCCAGAGACACTGACTCTCCATCTTAGTCACCTATGTGGTTCCCTAGAGACAGAAATGGGAGTCTCATAAGAGTTGCCACATCTCTGGCTGTGACCCCTAAATGTCATCATTTGGGTCAATAACAAATCAGGAGGTTAACGTTGGATTTGGTGGATAAAGTACCACGACTCCCGCCAAGCAGGGGTCCGGGTATGAGTGGTCCTGGGCCGCACGGTGAGCTTTGCACGGGCCCGCAGACTACTACAATGCCTGGCCTGGTGTCCGCGTGCCCCTAGGCAGCAATCTAGGTCGCCTGGGTCTACCCAGGAACCTGAGCTTTGGTGACCTCGACATGTGGGGCGATGTATCCTGGGAGGGAGGAATAGACCAGAATTAAAGGCTGCTCCCCAGGTTGCCAGGAGGAGGCGAGGAGGAAGGCGAGGTAGCCACAGTACTAGTAAGGTCCCGGGGATGCATTCCGGAGGGCCTGGCTGAGGTCTGGGCTTTGGCAGCAGGAGATTAGGTCTGATCCGATTAGAGCCTGGGCCGTCGGCTTCGCCCCTTGCCTGGCGCTACCAGCGCCCGCTCTGCACTCGTGGGGACCCAGGGACCTCCCCAAGACCGTTCCCCGGCCGGAACACGCGGTTGGCGCAGAAATCCAAGAGGCTCCCTGGCCCGGAGTTCGGCTCATTGTCACAGCGCGGTGTCGGGCTTCAGCCCCCTGCGGCCCTTCGGAGCCCCGCCCCGACTCTGCGGGTGTCTGGGCCCCTGCCTCCGAGCTCGCCGCGTGGTGGATGGGTTCCTTGCGGGTGGGGGTCCCGATCCAGCCCCTCCACAGAGAGGCGGGGCCGCGCCCCGCCCCACAGGTCTCTCGCCCGTGCACCTGTCGGCTAAAGCCGCGCGCGGCGCTGTGCGCCCAGCTGCCTGGCCACCCGGTGTTCGTTTGTCTCGGCGTCCGGAGCCGGGGGTCTGTCTGTCCCTCCCGCAGGCAGACGGAGCAGGGCCGGCGTCAGAGCTACGTGCGGCGGGGCGGGAGCGGCGGGCGGGGTGGGGGCGGTGCTGAGCGCGGCAGCGGCGGCGCTGGAGGCGGGGAGGCACGGCGCGCCGGGGACAGCGGCGGCGGCGGCGGCGGCATGCGGCTTCTGGCGCTGCCCATCGTGGGCTGAGACGGCCGCAGCACGGGCGGGAAGCGCGGCAGCCGGCGAGCCGAGGGCGCAGCTAGCCGGGCTGACCGTGGACAGCGGTCGGGGCGCCGCGCCATGGGCCGAACTGGGGGCGGGGGCCCGGGCAGGGGGCCGCCGCCACTGCTGCTGCTTCTGGGGGCCACGCTGGTTCTCGTCGCCGGGGCCGCGCCGGGTAGGTACCGACTGCCACCTGGACCCCAAAGGCCCTCGCCTGTCCACCCTGAGCCAGGGTCCCTTTGGCTTCGGATACAGGCGGAGTCCGCAAGCTGGAGACAAGGGGGCGGGGCAGCGCCTTGCCTGCAGCCCGGGCGGGGGACGGGGTGCGCGGAGAGGTGGGGGTCTTAGGGGAGGCCGAATGGTGGGGGCGGCCCCGACCAGGGTGTGCTAACTGAGGTGCTGGCTGAGGAGGGGTGGGCGGGCCTGAGGGTGAGACAGAGGCGCGGGACTTGGAGGTGATGGGTGGGGCACCAGGGTGCCAGTTCAGGGCGGGGCCTGGGTGGGGCGTGGCCCTCAGGGTGCGAGTTAGGGGCGGAGCCTAGAGGTGTAGTGTAGCCCTGAGGGTAAGACCTATTTCCAGGCGGTGTTGGGGGCCTCCTGCTTAGACTGCGGGTCGTGCCGGGGGCGGGGCCACACGCTTGAGGGGTGGGGCCTGAGCAGGGTAATGTTGGGCTGGGTGTATACCCTAGCTCTAGGGGCGGGCCCTGGGCGGAGCTTAAATGTGGGCGTGGTTTCGGGAACCCGTGAAGCTGGGATTTAGGGTTGGCAGGGGTCTAGGAGAGCCGGAGGCGGCCCGGGCGGGGCGGGGCGGGGCGGGGCGCAAGACCTCACCTGGCGCTCGCCCTGACGCCCCGCCCCTCTCCCCGCAGCGCGCGAGGCGGGCAGCGCCGTCGAGGCCGACAAGCCTGTGAAGAGCGCCGCGGCGTGGGGGCCGCGTGCTAACAACACGCGGGAGAAGGCCGGCCCGCCAGCAGCCGGAGAAGATGAGCACTCGTGGACCGCGCCCGATGGAGAGCAGGCAGTGGTGGGCCCTGGGGTCGGGCCAGAGGATGTGCTGGAGGCCTCGGCAGCAGTGACAGGCGCCATCTGGCTGGAGGCCGACAGCCCAGGCCTGGGCGGAGTGACTGCAGAGGCGGGCAGCGGGGACACTCAGGCCCTTCCAGCCACGCTCGCAGCCCCCAACGAGGTCCTCGGGCAGTCATCGATGCCCCGTGCCATCCCTGAAGCTACAGAGGCCAATGAACCACCCTCCCCCACTCCTGGCCACAAGCCGAGCCCAGGCCCAGAACTCCCCAAGGAGAGCCCTTTGGAGGTTTGGCTGAACCTGGGAGGCAGCACACCTGACCCTCATGGGCCAGAGCCCACGTACCCCTTTCAGGGCACACTGGAACTTCAACCGGCGTCAGATATTATTGACATCGACTACTTCGAAGGATTGGATGGTGAGGGTCGTGGCACCGACCTGGGGAGCTTCCCAGAATCGCCAGGAACCTCAGAGCACCACCCTGATAGTGGAGGAGAGACCCCTTCCTGGAGCCTGCTTGATTTATACGATGACTTCACCCCTTTTGACGAATCTGATTTCTACCCCACCACATCTTTCTATGATGATTTGGATGAAGAGGAGGAGGAGGAGGAGGATGGCAAGGATGCAGCGGGAGGTGGAGGTCTGGAAGATGAAAATGACCTTCTAGTGCCCACTGAGAAGCCTGGTTTGGGGCCCGGGACAGGCCAGCCCACGAGTTGGTGGCATGCTGTCCCTCCACAGCATACTCTGGGGATGGTCCCGGGCAGCAGCATCGCTCTCAGGCCCCGCCCAGGAGAGCCAGGCAGGGACCTGGCCTCCAGTGAGAATGGCACTATGTGCCGCAGCGGTTTTGTGCGACATAACAGCTCCTGCCGGTCAGTGTGTGACCTCTTTCCAAGTTACTGTCACAATGGCGGCCAGTGCTACCTGGTGGAGAACATAGGGGCCTTCTGCAGGTAAGGGTGTGGCATGCAGGTGCACAGAAGCTTGTAAAAAGAACTCCTGACAAGTGTGTGTGAGGCAGACTCAGCAAAGAGGGGAATGTGACAGACACAATTTCCAAGAGTTTATGTGTTCACAGGACTCCCAGGTCAAGAGATGTTCACTCAGGCACCTTCTACAGAATCACTGCTTCAATGTCCTGCCTGTGAGCTTATTGCTAGGGGAGGTTCCTCAGAAATAAGATTTTGCATTTTCTCTAAGTGTTGTGTCCTTTACCCAATCATTCCAAAACCCTTCACGTCGATGAGAAAGAATCATCGACGTGAAGGGTTTTGGAATGAGGTCTTTGCTGGCTTGAGGTGATTTGTTGGGGAGTTCTGTCTACACTAGCAAAATTAGTTGGCCCATAAACCTACTCTACAGGAAAGTTTCTTGCTGAGCACTCCCTCTGAGGGACATGTGGCAGGAAGAGGGCCTGGCTCCCTGCAGGCAGGAGTAGGGGATGGAGGTGTCAGGTTCAAGTGAGGACCTTCTCTTTTTTTTTTAATCCTCACCCGAGGACATTTTTTTCACTTTTTGTTCAGATAGAGTGGGAGGGGGAGAGAGGGAGAGAGAGAGAGAGAGAGAAACATTGATGTGAAAAGAATTCATTGAGTGGCTGCCTCCCGCACGCACGACCCAATCAGGGCCAGGGACAAACTGCAACCGAGGTATGTGCCCCTAGCGGGAACCGAACCTGGGTCGCTCTGGACCGCAGGCCAATGCTCTAACTGCTGAGCCAAACAGGCCAGGGCAAGTGAGGACCTTCTCATTGGGAGCAGACCCAGAGAGAAGCCACACAAATAGGTCAAGTCAAGCAGAGAGTCTTACCAGGTATAGCAGAGGTGGTGGGGTTTCTTAACTTTGGGTAGTAGCTTTTCCCCTTCTACCTTGATTTTTGTCTTCTTGGAATACCCAGTTCAGAATGTTTTAAAAACACAGAGAGTTCAGTGTGCCTAAGGACATTGTCTGCAGTCACCATCCCATGCTTCATCAATAATCACTCTATACACCTACCCTCACGACTAGGTGGGTAACATGCTGGAAAGCCCACGGGGCTGATCTGGGTGGTTTGCTTGTCTTCATCCTTTCCAGGTTCTAGAAGTGGAATAGAACCCTCAGATTCATCTGGGATTTGTTTCTATTGGTCCTAGGAGGAACATTTCTATATCCTGGATGGCTTTGTAAAGTGTAATTCCCCATGTTTCTTTTTCTTGGTCGTTTTGGAGGTATGTGAAGAATTCAAATTCTGTAGGTCTTGATGTTCTGATAGAAGAATAACATATAGAAAGCATGAATGTTGTGCCTTTGGCATTAAAACTTGACTTCCATGTTCTTCCTGTGAAGTTGTTTCCTACAAATGATTGTGATGTTAGGGTCACTCATAGGACGTGCCCGCACAGTTCTGATTGGAGTTACCCAGCCATTGCCCAAAGGTGGAACTGTGATCAAGAAATAATGGTGACAAGACCTTGCAGTTGGTTAAGGGCTATCAGAAATGTGGGGAGAGACTGTGATTTTGCTCCTCAAACTTTATTGGGGAGACCATAGAGATCAATTTAACCTGGGAGATAAGGAATCTCTGCAAAATTTATTATTTTTCATCCTGTTGGAGGTCTGAGCTTTCACCTTCAAAGTATACTCCCCAGCAGAGTATAAAATGTGGAGCCCTTGCTACCTCTGGAGAGCTAGAAAAGTTCCCTGAACCTTCTGGAGCTCTCAGGATCCCCGAAAGGAGAGCAAGCTTGTCCTCTTCACTGAGCTGCATGGCTGTGTGGCTGTGGGTCCCCTGTGGGTCCTGCCTCAGAAGGGCTTCTGCATAAGTCCACCCAAGTTCCCCTTGCTCAGCTTCCCTCCCAGAGATTCATCCCCCGGCTGTGTACACCCAGGCTGGCTGTGGCTGGGAAACTGTTTTGCATTCTACTCACAGGAGACTGCTGAGCCCGTAGTTGCAGACTGCAGTGTGCCTTTGTCTCTGTCACCCTGACCCACTGCAGAGGAACGATCAGAGCTGTGGCAGAACTTCTCTAGAACAGTGGGTTAGAGTGAGCTGCTTTCCCCGCCATCCTACAGAGGCTCCCCATGACTGCAGAGGATCAGTGGGAAAAGAAAGAAGTCCCTGTTAGCCGTGTCTCCCCACCCTGTTCTGGGTGTGGAGCAGCCAATTCTCCTTTCTCTGGTCTGTCATTCACCCTAAGGTTCATGTCCTCCCTCCTTTGCCTGCCTCTGTATCCTTCCACATCTTTCCTCTTTGAAGCAGCCTGGTTCCCATGGAAACAGCAATGTCATTGGAAGAGTTGGAGCCTGGGAATGTCCCCAAGGGCAGGAGAAAGTCACTCAACAAAAGGACTAAAACCCACCCAGAGGGTTAATGCTCACTATGCTTTTATGACAGTTCTCATGGTGATAGGACAGGAAGCTTTAGGGGGCAGAATATTGGGGGCTGCAGAGACAGGAGAAGAATATACATCCTTCTTTGTGCTTGTCAGTGTCTGGTTAGCCACATGAACTAGATGGGACTGCAAAACAACAGATAGGTTTTCATATGTAGGCTGGGTCCTACTACTTTGTAGCTCGAGCTCCTATTCATCTTGTTTTCGTCTTCTTTCATCCAGAGCCCAGGGCTGGGGCACAGGGTGCTGAGCGAATCCTGTGATTCTTTTCACTGAGGCTTCAAGGTGGAAAACCAGGGTTCCCTTCCTTCCTCGGTCACTTGACAGCCATGCAAATGACCAGTTCACTCAGTTTCTCAGTGCCCTGGTTGCCTTTATGCCATGGACCTCAGAGCTGCCTGGACCCACTGCTTGGGTGGTTATAAAGACAGGCCAAGAATGTCAGCTATAAGGTCTGCTGAGAGCGGGGGCATCACGGTTCCTGAGACGATCCTAGGAACAGGCATGGAGGTAAGTGCCGGGGTCAAGCACCAGGCCTTTGCTGTGGCCAGGGCTGCCTGCCCACCACCTTCGTCTCACCCTGTCACTGCTGCAGGTGCAACACGCAGGACTACATCTGGCACAAGGGGACACGCTGCGAGTCCATCATCACTGACTTCCAGGTGATGTGCGTGGCCGTCGGCTCGGCTGCCCTCGTGCTGCTCTTGCTCTTCATGATGACTGTGTTCTTCGCCAAGAAGCTCTATCTGCTCAAGACAGAGAACACCAAGCTGCGTAGGACCCAGTGAGTCTGCGCCAGCCGGCCCCCAACCCTGAGGCTGCGCCCCTCCGTCTGACCCAGGATGTCCTCCCGAGGGTTTCTGGCTCTCCATCCCTAGTTGTGTTTTTTTATACCAAATATTCACCCGAGCATATCCATTCCTACACAGAATGTGCTGGAATTGCAGCAGAGGCTAAGCCCTGGTGGTACGCTGCAGCTGTCCAGCACCATTCCCCATGCCCCCACCCTGGATAGAGGGGGCTTTAAAGAAAAGGCATCCAGTGTAAGCAGTTCCCAACTCTGGTCCCCAAGTAAGTTCCTGTGCTCAGTCCCCACCCCCACCTGACTGCACACTTCCCAGGTCTTTGGCGGCCAGTGGCGTGTGAGGATTTCACTCACAAACCAGCACGAAATAACTCCAGCTCCCTCAAATCTGAGAGAACTGCAGTGTGTTGCTTTACAAAGCTCGCCAACCCTGGGTCCAGACAGAAGTGCCAGGAACTTAAGGAAATCCTCTTTACCTCTCCTAAGTAGGATTTTGGGGGCTAGAGGGGCCTTGGTCTAACTTTCCCTACTGGGGATTTCAAGGGCCATGTGAGGATAGAGTCTCGTTTCAGCTCTTAGCAGAGGGGTGACCTCTGAGTGTATTTGAATATCAATATGCATTTACCTTTAAGTGCACACCTTGAACACTCTAGTATGACCTGCACACTATAAGACAATCACTCTTATCACTGAAGAAAATAAAGAACCATCAGTAGTGTCACAAGAGTCACAAAAGGAGGAGATTAAAGTTCAGCTTCCTTGGGGCCCAAGAGACAATTTATGCAGAACTGTGCCCACCTCGCTTTCAACCTGTTGCCCCATGAGTCCCCTCCCCCTGACCTGAGACTCCCTCCAGAGAATGTGACTGAAGGCCTTTCCCTGAGCCCTGGGAAAAGGACAAAACACCATCTGTTGCTCCTTTGCTGGGTAACCGCGTGCAGTGTGCAGATGCCTGCAGCCCCGCAGCCTTCCAGCTAACCGTCCTGGGGCCAAAAGGGCCTCTCCATTGTGCCTGTGCACTGAGGCGGGCGTGTCTGTGCATGTGACCACAAGCCCGGACCCTGGGCTCCTCAGACCTCCACCAAGGGGGTGTGCGGAGGGGGTTGGGACCACTTATCAGGACAGCCACTGATGAGGACAGTGAGAGAAAGGACCAGCTAACTGCCCAGGTGTGGAGAAGCGGGAGCTGTGACCAGGGCAGAGCCCATTCTAGGCCTTCCCCTTTCGCTGGCTGTGTGTTTTGCAGAGTGTGGCTCCCCACCCTTTCAGCTCAAATGCTGCTTCCCCGTTGCCCTCTGCATACCTCCTTTCTTTCCCAAGCCTGGTCACTGCCCTGATGATGCTGCCTGTGCCCAGTGTACTACAGACACTGCTGTGGTTTATTAATTCTAAGATACACAGGTCTTTTCCCCCCGCGTGTTAACATCGCTGCAATTGGATTGTGTCTTACAATTGCTGGCTTGTTGAAATTGCTGTGGCCAGATGGCAGTCTTGATGTAGTTGTGATTGCCTGGCACACACACAAACGTGGTCATAGCTGTTCATATTGTTGTCAGTTCTCCATCTAAAGTTTAAATGAGCTACTTCAACTATGTAATAAAAACTCTAGGTGATAAGAAGGTATTGGATCATGGTTTAAATGGTAGAAGTTTCTCCTTAGTGGTGCATCAAATAATGGCGCGTCTTATTCCAGTCTGAGACTTTTGATGAAATACAGCATTTGACCCATAAATTTTTTGTCAAGAGTTTGCCATGATCATTTCACTTATGTTTTCCTTTCTCTCTTCTGTCCTAACCAGCAAATTCCGGACCCCATCTGAACTCCACAACGATAACTTCTCCCTTTCCACCATTGCCGAGGGCTCTCACCCAAATGTAAGGAAACTTTGCGACACTCCCCGTACCTCCTCCCCCCATGCCCGGGCCTTGGCTCACTATGATAACACTATCTGTCAGGTAACTTGTCTTCTTCATGTCTCCCGTGTGCATGCTGCAGCCCCTGCCTGTGCCTTGGGTCTGTTTCAGAGTGTGGAGCCACCCCTCAGAGCTCTGGAGATCAGCTCGGGGCAGCCATCTGGGGCAGTGGGCGTGAGAATGAGGGCTGATGGCGTATCACTTCCTTGACAAGCGGAGCTGTAGGTAGTACAGAAGATCTTTTTCTAGGACGACTCACGATTTTAGCTGCTCCTAGACTTTAGGAGTCTGATTTTTGTCTTCCTACTCTTTATATCAAGGAGAAAGGCTCTGCTTTGAGGGCTATGGGGTTTGCTGATGGTCATTGAAGCAAAAGGTAATTGCTCTTTGGGATGGTTGGGAAACAATGTTGACACCGTTTGAGGACCCTAAAAACTGGCAGACTGGTTAGGGCTGAGGTGAGCACAGAACACTGGTGGAACCATAACTCTGGGGGTAAGTTCTGTTCTTAGGTGGATGGGCTCATATATACCAGTTGAAACCCAATGAAAGGTCCCAACAAATCCTTTTCTAAAGACCCCGGTCTAGTGTGTTGGGTGGACTAGACTAGCTAGTAAAATACTGGGTACTCTCAGAGACAATTTCAGAAGTCCAACAAACCCTCTAAAGCCAGGATTCTGCCGACAGCGAAGACTCCAAACCTCCAGGGAAATGCATCATTACACCCAGAAGAGAGCTAAACCAAGACTCTTCAGATGGAAACAATGGTGTGTAAGAGGAATTTTGAAGATGTTATTTGAAATAATGGACTATAGTGTATCTGAGCTCACTGGGGCCTTCACAGTGTAGGTCAGTGCTATCCACTGGAACTTTCTGGGACGTAGAGATGTTCTCTTTCTGCACCATCCACTGCAGCAGCCACTAGGTACCCGTGGATACAGAGGTGTCAGAAGGGGGCTAGTTCCACCGTATTGGGCGGCTCAGAACTGGGCCATTGTTCCCCTTTTTATAGATGGGAAGAGAGAATGAGTAAATGAGACGGTCATCAAACCCCAGAAAAGACAAAATTTGGCCTGGTAGAGGAGGAGCAAAGGGATTAATTTAAATTTTAAAAATGAAAGAAGTTAATTTACGATAATATTTAAAAGTCTTTGGTATAAAGGGTAAAGAAAGAACAGGTATTCTATTACTTGGTATGCATCAAGATATTAATAAGTTCGAGATGGATATAATAGCTAGGGAAACGGGATGTCCTATGAACTTTGAGATTGGTAACCACGTTAATTACCCCACAAGGATGCACCGCGAGGGCAGGGAGGGTCTTACTCATCTTGGTACACTCCATCTCTACCTTACCCAGCCCCTTCCAGGAATATGGATTCAGTCGTCGTCTGTAGAACACTAGTGAATGATGGCCCACGGCAGGGTCTCTCGGTGGCACAGTCTGATCTGCCATCTGGTATGTGCAGGGCAGCAGGTCTAACCTATGTGGTGGCTCCTGCAGTCAAGGGTCTTCATTGTCCACGGAGTACAAGGGCCCTTAGGGAAGTTCTGACTCATGCATTTCTGGAGCCCAGGTGCATACACCTTTCCTCCTCACAAAGGGGGGAGAGCAGGATGTGTCTCCTCTTGGAGGCCTTTGTTACATGAGCCAATACAGAGGTTTTCAGTTCTTTTTGGCTGATCCAGCTGTGTGGAAGGCAAGGCATTCGTCCATGAAAACTACCACTGACCTCAAGTTCAGAATACGGCAAGCGGAAAACAGAGTGGAGCAGGGGGTGGTCAGCCACAGCGGACTGTCAGTGCCTGAGACGGGCCATGAGACAGTCTGGGCGGCACTTGGGACATCCCTCAGGGAAGTGACGAGACGAGGGTCGGGGTTTCTGGCTCCTCTTGGGTCTTGAGGGTCATTTCCACCTGGCATCCTTTCTTCAGCTTATGCCCTAGGAAACATCCTGTCCTCTCGGCCAAAGCTCTGCACATGGAGGGGGTGACTCTCCTGCCCAGCAGGGAGTATGCTAGTGGATGTTCTACCTTCACCTCTGATTTTCTCCACCTAGCCCCAAAGTTAAACTTGGTCATGTTCAAGATCTATAGGCAGTGACTGTTAGGACAGGTGCCTCTTTATTGTTGAGGGAAGACCTGTTCGTTGCTTCCGCTCCACACTGAACACTTACACGTGATGCCGGCAGCAGGAGGAAAGTGCGGAAACCTCCAGGTGAGCGGGAGGTGACCCCAGGGCATCCAGGTTAAGCCTGCATCGGGTCCCTGCCTCCACCCCTCAGACTTCCTTGTTGGTGTCTCCTAAAATTTTGGAGAGTTCTATTCATCTTAAAAGGGGGGTTATTTCTTTTACATAAGTAAAGTAGCTTGAGTGGGTCATTTTCCTACCCAATTTCAATGATCTCTACAATCCACACTCTGAAAAGATTTCAAACCAAAACGCTTCCGTGGGTCTGTGGTGGGGGAAGGGTCAGCTGCTGGTACCTGTGTCAATGGCGTTCCCAGCGCCCCACCGGCTGCGAGCATCTCCTGGCGCGGCGCCTGGCCTGGGCCTCCTGGACTGCTGTGCGGCCTGGCCGCAGCTGGGGAGCCAGAGGCTGAGTGTGTGTCCTTTGTGTAGCTGAGCAGCCGGCCTCGGAAGCATTGTCAGGAGGAAAGGGAAACGCCTGCTGTGGAGGTTTGCAGGGTCCCGGGAGGAATGGCGAGTGCAGGAAGCTGGACACTGTCCAGGTGCACAGCATGAATGAAGTCACCTGAGATCACGGGCAGACTGCCCGAGCCCTGAGAGCTGCCCTGCTGGCTCTCACAGCTGTGCTGTCAACAGTGTCGCGGACATAGCTTGGTTCTCCTAACATTTGACAGCCCTTCCAGATTTCACTCTATTACTAGCATTTCTCCATGGCCTCTTTTTTATGTTTTTTTAATTGATTTTTTTTTAGAGAGATAGGAAGGGGGAGAGAGAGAGAGACCGAAACATTGATGTGAGAGAGAAACATCGATCGGCCGCTTCTTGCATGCCGCCAACTGGGGACCGAGTATGTGTCTGGATGGGGAATCGAACCGGGACCTCTCAGTCCAGGGGAGGACGCCAATCCACTGAGCCACACCGGCTGGGTCATGGCATCTTTTCATTGCTCCCAGCCCCTATTTAAATCTTTCTAACTTCCCAGACTGTTTTTTCCGTCTTTGGTGAAGCACTCACTGCCTGCCCCTCCTGATAGAGGTTTGTGTGTGGACAAGCAGGGGTCCCGGCCTGAACCCACACGCCCCCAGGGCTGAAGGAAACCCATATGGCTGGGGATGCCAGGAGTTGGGGGTGCACTGTCGTTCCCAGGATTTATGCCAGACGGAGGTCTGGCTCCCGCGTGATGAGGGACTTCTGCCAAACCAAAAGCAGATGGGCCCTCTGCTGAGAGTCAGCAGCCCTAGGCTTCAGAGGATGGAGCTGTGGTCCTAACTTGGGTCAGGAGACTCCTCCTTGGTTTAGACACTCCCTCTGTTCCATTTGGTACTTTGCTTGTCTGGCAGCATTATTTGAATAACTGTGTCCCTTATTCTTAGACTGGACTTCACCCACCCATCGGCCAGAAGGCACTTTCTCATCTGTGCAAATGCCCTGAGCCCGCAAGGGACCAGGTGTAATTTGGGCCCCATGTTTGTGACATTACAGCTTTGATGACCGGGTCTAGAAGGACTTTAAATCCACTGTCCTTCACATTGTGAGAATGTCCCCATGTCCCTATAGCCCTAAAGAGTGTGTGATGTGGTGAGGAAAGAGGTTATCTTAAAAATCAGGAAAGTGAGTCCTGTCCTTGTAAGAGGAGAAGTTGTTTCAAGTTTCGCTGAGATTCAAAGTTCATTCTACCCAGGATCTTTTTTTTTTTTTATCCTCACTCGAAGACACTTTCCCATTTTTTGTTCAGATAGAGTGGAAGGGAGAGAGAGGAAGAGAGAAAGAGAGAGAAACATCGGTGTGAAAGGGACACATCGAGTGGCTGCCTCCCGCACGACCCAACCAGGGCCAGGGACAAACTGCAACAGAGGTACGTGCCCTTAGCGGGAACCGAACCCGGGTCTCTCTGGATCGCAGGCTGACACTCTAACCACTGAACAACCTGCCAGGGTTCTACCCAGGATCTTTAATGGCCCAACTCTCAAGCTCCCACGTGCAGCTTCTTCTGCCAAACAATACAAAAGTACACAAAATAAAAAGTGCAGCTCCCCCTCATCACACTCGCCTCTCCGTAAACCCCGTGTGTGTGCACACATGTGCTCAGTATATCATGGCACTCTTTCCGTCCCGGCACATGTAGATTTATGTCACCGCAAAGTTTCTCCGAACCTCTCCAAGCAGCGGCAGAGTATGAAGTGCCTGTGGGTGCCTTGCACAGCTGCCTTGCCTGAACTCTGCCTCCATCCTGCATGGAGTTCATTTGCTCTTGTTCTTGTCTCATTGGAAATGGGGAGCGTGTGTTCCCCTCTTGACTGCAAATCACTGCTGAGGCCTCTGGAGCAGTTAAAGAGCACTGTTCAAGCTGGTCCTCTGGTGAGGTGCCAAGTGAGGGTGGGAGCAGGGGCCGTGGCAGAGATTTCTGTGTGCACAGTACCTTGAACACCTGCAGTGTCCTGTAGAAGCCTGGAGTCTCCCTGCTTCCTTTCCAAGCAGTCGGTGCCCTGACCTCATGCTGTTACGGCTCAAACTCAGTAGCAGGCAGAGTGGACAAGAGCTCCGCAGTTTTGTGGGAAATGCCCCAGTTCTTCCGCATCATGATGACCTTGAATCTTGGAAAGGGTTAAAGCAAGAAGGGTCCGAGTTAGCTGGTCAGTTAGGGACATTCTCTGCCCTTCTTGTCACCCATGGACCTGCCTGGGTAGATTACACAACCTCTCTGGTCAATAAAGTTCCGAGTACTGACAATAGCCATTTGGGGCACTAAGAAATCATTAAGTCCCAACGACTATGAGGTACTGGCTATGATCCCCTCGGGTGGTCTTAAAGGAAAAGAGTATCAAGAAGGCAGGCGATCTCTGCGTGCCAGAATGCAGGGTTGGAGATTGTACTGGCTTGGGTTTCCTGCAGGCCTTTAACAGGCAAGTCCAGTTCCGGTCCAGGAGCGTGTCAGAGGGCTGCAGGCAACCTGCCTGGGTAGGCAGGAGGGCCCAGTACAGTCAGACGTAGGTCGTGAACCAGCAGCACGAGCAGCATCTATGCAAAGACTGGCGGCCCACTGAGACAGCTGGACTCATCCAGGCTCGGGCTGAGGAAACACCTTGTAGGTTAGCGTCTTTGGGTAGATCACCTTCTGAGGGTAAGGCTCACACATCTCTGGGCTCTCGTCAGAGGACTTATATTTGCCATGGGGAGAGGGGCCCTAGCTTTGCCAGCAGCAGCTCTTCGCCTGACCTAGTCCTGTTCACACCCCACTGTCTGCACCGACAAGCTGTGTCCCCTGACCAAGACCTTGTGAGAGCAGAGGCAACAGGGCGGAGGGCCCGGGCAGGCGGCACAGAGCTCACCAACAGGCTGCGTATTAAAAGGCACCATGTCTGCCCTCCAGCTGCTCAGTGTAGAGCATCGGCCCACGGACCAGAGTCTCAGGTTCGATTTCCGGTCAAGGGCATGTATCTCGGTTTCGGTTCATCCCCAGCCCTGGTTGAGGTGATGTGGGAGGCCGCTAATCGATGTGTCTCTCTCACATCAATGTCTGTCTCTCTCCCTCTCTCTCCCCCTCTCTCTCTCCCCCTTTCTTCCTCCCTCCCACTTTATCCGAACATAAATGGAAAAATATCCTCGAGTGAGGATTAAAAAAATAATAATAATACAAATAAATAAATAAAAGCCACCATTTCTCCCCACCCCTGTCAAAGGGAAAACCCTGGACGGGCCTACATGAAAGGTATTTGTGACCCAGTCTCCTGTCAAGTTGTCATCGATCTCTGGCCAGTGGTTTGGGGTTTTTTTCCCTTTATTGATTATAGAGAGAGAGGAAGGGAGAGGGAGAGAGAGATAGAAACATCGATGAGAGAGAACATCGATTGGCCGCCTCCTGCATGCCCCCCACTGGGGATTTAGCCCTGACCGGGAATCGAACCAGTACATGGGTCAGTGCTCAACCACTGAGCACACCAGCCAGGCTGGCCAGTGTTTTTGAAGATGATTTTCCTGAAAAGTAGCCGCTGAGGAGTCACGTTGCTTCATTCAAGTCCCGGAGTTTCCTTCCCTTCCTCAGCCTGCTCCCTTGAGCCAGGTAGAGAGGCCTAAGCGTGTCGTTTGATCCTGCTACCCACTGTCTCCTTCCTGTTCCTCCCTCACCTTTTTTCCTCTTCCAGGATGATCCTAGCGCTCCCCACAAAATCCAGGAGGTCCTCAAGTCCTGCCTGAAAGAGGAGGAGTCATTTAACATCCAGAACTCCATGTCGCCCAAACTTGAGGGTGGCAGAGGTGACCAGGCTGACTTGGAGGCGAACTGTCTTCAGAATAACTTGACCTAAAGCAGAGCAAGAAGAGAGGGAACGGGGGGCGGGGCGGGGGAGAAACGCCACTCCTCTTGTACAGTCTATTTCTCGTAACCATTTGTCGAATTCTTTTCTTTTCTGATCCCATGGCATGCTTCGATGTATTTTGTACAGGAGGGAGAAAACACAAAGTAAGCAAAGAACCTGAACAGAATTGCGTGTATTGGATTGTCTGTCTGTGCCGTCTGTACATTGCTTCTGCTGCTGTGCTTTCTAAACCTATGCTGTTATTCAACTGACTTTTTTTTTTGGTACTTTGATCCACCTTTTTTTGAAATACCAGTAAAAAACAAAAGTTCTTGAAATAAAACTTTTTTAAAAGCCATTTTCCCAATGTCGTTGTGTTCACTCCCTACCCATTCTTGTCTGTTTGAGTTCGATTCTTATCTTCAGTGAAGGTGTATATTTATACATGTTTGAAATCCCAGAAATGGTCAGCTTGGGCTGCCATAACAAGATACCACAGACTGGGTGCCTAAAACAATAGAAAATTTTCTCTAGCCGTTCTGGAGGCTGGAAGTCCAAGGTCAAGGTGGCAGCAGAGTTGGTTTCTGGTAAGGCTTCTCCTCCTTGCTTACAAATAGCCATCTTCTGACTGTGTCCTCACATGGCATTTTCTCTGGGCGAGAGAGAGAGAGAGAGAGAGAGAGAGAGAGAGAGAGAGAGAGAGAGAGAGATCTGTATTTCCTTCTTTTCTGATAAGGACACCAGTCCTATTGGATTAGGGGCCCACCCTGATGACCTCATTTAACCTTCTAGGCCCTATCTCTAATACCATCACATTGCAGGTTAGGGCTTGAACATATGGCTTTTTGGGGGACACAATTCAGTTCGCTTAGTCTGTAGTACCTATATTAAGACTACTCTTGGCCCTAGCTGGGTAGCTCAGTTGGTTGGAACATCATTCCAATACACCAGGTTGTGGGTTTGATCCCCTGTCAGGGTATATACAAGAGTCAGCCTATGAATGCATAAGTGGAACAACACATTGATGTCTCTCTTCCTCCCTCCCTCTCTCTAAAGTCAAGAAAGGAAGAAGGGAAGACTGCCTTTTCCTGCTTTCATATATACTTATTCAGCATGTACCCAGCCAGGTGCGATGCTAGATGCCAGGAACTCTCAATGAATAAGATAGACCCTGACCTCAACAACTGAACAGTGTACTCAAGAAACAGACTTAAAAACAATGCAATGCAAGAGTCAGTGTTACAGCAGAGCTACACACAAAGCTCTGGGTTTGAGTTACGAGTTCAGGAAGGCGAAAGGAGAAAGGCGAAAGTGGACTTGGAAGGATGCAGAGGCATTTTTCAGGATGATACAGGAGAAGACATTGGAGGCAGAGGGTGGATACTCAGGAAAGTTGTGCTATATGACTAGTTGTGACTGGGAGAGGTCCTGGGTGATGAGGCTGGAAAGGGCAATTTAGGACAATGTGTGAAGGACCTTGAATGCCATTAAACACAGGGCCGAGGCAAGATCAGATTTGTTTTGGCCAAAGATACCTCTGGAGACTGGTGAAGGCAGACAGGATGGGGATTGTAGCCATCTAGGCAAGGAATGAGGATGGATTAGAGAGAGAATTAAGAGTTCAAATTGCCAACTGCTGACCAGTAGGGGAGTTTTGTAGAACTTTGTGTTCAATCTGTGTTAATTCCAATAACTGGAATCCCTATGAGCCTGGTTTTATCGCCTAATTCCTGCTGGTTCTCCCTGATTTGTCTCATCATGTACCTTCTTTTTTATTTTGTGCTGGACATTGTATTTGAAAAAATGTTTATTGAAATAATTTGAGGCCTAGGATACATTTTTTCTTTTAGGGAGGGTTTTTGTTTGCTTCTCTCAGGTGCTTGGGAGCACTAGAATTCTGAGATCACATTATCCCAGATTCAAGGTTGAAGATTTGTGGACCACAGACCTATCTGGCTACGCCAGGGCTGGGTCGTTTTTGTTTTGTTCTGTTTTCCTTTATTGATTTTAGGGGGAGAGGAAAAGAGAGGGAGAGAGAGATGGAAACATTGATAAGAAAGAACATCGATTGGCCACCTCCTGCCTGCCCCCCACTGGGGATCTGGCCCACAACCTGGGCATGTGCCCTGATCGGGAATTGAACTGGCGACCTCTTGGTGCCTGGGTCAGCGCTCAACCACTGAGCCACACCAGTTGGGCAGGCTGGGTTGCTTTTGGTTCATCCTTACCCCTAAGACATATCCCCTCTGGTCACAGCCCAAAACAGGCAGTGGTTTCTCAGTATTTCACCTTTGGTGGGTTCTGTACTCCAACTCACCCCCTAGCCCTGCAAGACTTTCAGAAACACCACTCATCCTTTTAGTCACCTTTTCCAAGGGGGCAGGTGCCTCCAGGGAAGAAGGAGCCTGAATGCCCAAACGGGCTCGCCTCTCTGGCTTCCTGTCCTCTGGGATGTCAGCCCGGTAATTCTTCAGTATCTTGTTAGCTCTTTGATGCTTTTCAGATGTTTGTACAGCTTTTTGGTTGTCTTTAGTGGAAGGGGTGGTCCAATTCACCTAGTCTCCCGTTTACTGACAACAGAAGTCCTCTGTGTTCACCTTGGGACTCTTGCCCAGGTGACATTCAGCTCAGTCTGCTCTTTGCTATTGGATATAGGGCTGCATGCTGGGATATGGCTTGTGTGCATGATGGTTTCCTAACCTGAGCTGTATCCGTTTTGGGGGTTGGCATGGTTCAGCTTAGGACTTCCTGTACTCTGAATTAGAGGACAGACCTGTCCTACACAGATAGGCACCTCGGGCTCCTTTCACAAGGAGGCTCAGTCAGGAGGGATTGAATGTGAAAGCACTTTGTAAATTCTAAATCCCACCTACACGTAAGGGTTTGTTCGTATTGTGCTTTGTTTTGGTTTTCCCACAAGAGTATTCAGAAATGCAGATCAAAGCCCTTGGCTCCATTCCTCACAGCACATGCAGGAGGGATGGGAACCCAGATCGGAAGGGGGGCAGGAGACAGCGCAAGCCTAATGAATAGTTAGCAGATGTTGCCAAGAGTCTTTGACCCAAAGAAGGAGCTGACGTGTTGGAATAGGATATATTGATGTCTATCTGTGCCAGCCCTATTTCCTGCTAGCGTGTTTGTGCTTCTTGATGATTGTGCTCCATGGGGCCCGTCAGCTCCTCTCTAGGGACCTCCAGCTCCACTGTGAGCTCTCTCCCTCCCCCTCCTCCACAGTGACAACTTAGCACTTGAGACATCCCCATTCAGCCAGCACCCTGGTGCTTTCAGATCATGGTCCCCAGACCCCTTCTCTCTGCCTGTTCCACACCACTCCATAGCTTGCCCTGTGTCCTTTTCTCTAAGGGAAGGACACACTGAAATTTTGGGAAACTTGGGCATCATGGAAGAAAAATCAATTGTCTGGGGGAGCCTTTCAGCCTTGATGGGTCATTTCAGTGAGGAGAAGGGTACATGCAATGCTGAACCATCTATCTACACAGGCGTATTCTTTACACAAAGGCCACACCTGTATTACCTTCCTGGGGCTGCCTTAACAAATCATCACAAACTGAATGGCTTAAAACAACAGAAATTTATTCTCTTACAGTTCTGGAGGCTGAAAGTCTGAAATCAAGGAGTCAGTAGGGCCCCGTTCCCTCTGACAGATCCAGGGAAGACTCTGTCCCTGCCTCTTCCTAGCCTCTGGTGGTAGCTAGAAACCCTTGGCATTTTTTTAATTTAGTTTTATTGATTTCAGAGAGGAGAAGGGAGAGGGAGAGATAGAAACATCAATTGCTGCCTCCTGCACGCCCCCTACTGGGGATCAAGCCTGCAACCCGGGCATGTGCCCTGACCTGGAATCGAACTGATGATCTCATGGTGCGCTGGACAACACCCAATCCACTGAGCCACACCAGCAGGTGATCCTTGGCATTTTGGGCTTGTAGTTACATCATTCCAGTTTCTGCCTCTGCCTTCCCATGGCCGCCTCCCCTCTGTGTGTCTGTGTTTCTGTGCCTTCACAAGGCCTTCTTAAAAGGACACCAGTTACTGGATTTAAGGCTCACCCTAAGTCAGTGTGACCTCGTCTTAGCTTGATTTCAACCGTAAAGACCCTTCTTCCAAATAAAGTCACACTCACATGTACTGGGAGTTAGGACTTCAATATATCTTTGTGTGGGGATCATAGTTCAACTCACAACTGTGACTTACTGTTTCACATCCAAGGTCTCATCACACCCTCACCAGTCTGGAGACTGGGTTTTAGGAATGGAAAGCATCAGTGACAATATTAGAACCCAGACCTCGGACGTCTACACTTCAGTGTCCATTCCTCTGTGTGCCAGCACACTGCAGACACTGCTTATAGTTGCTGTCCTTTCTCATATAATTTGTAGAAATGCAAAGCTTAGCCTGTGCTCTGAAGAGCAGCACAAGCACTGGCCTTGGAGCCCGAAGCCCTCATGACTTCAGGAGTCATGACTTCTCTGAACCTAAGGTCCTTCATCGGTACAATCCTTACCTTTTCACAGGGCGTCGGGGATGTAGCCATGAACCAAACGGACCCAAAGCCCTGCCTGGTGGAACTTGCTTCCCAGTGTCCTGAAATCATACAAGGTAAGGTACATAAAAGCGTTCCGAGAAATGGAAGGAGCTGTGCAAACCTGCCCTCCAGGCCCAAAGGTAAGGGTGAGAATGAGGTGAGCAGCGAGGTGGGTGAGCAGCGAGGTGTGTCAACATGGCCAGTGCTGAGAACTGTGGCAGAGGCTCTTCCTTCAGCTCAGGAAGAATGAGGAACTCCACTAAAGTGAACTTGGACACACTATTACACACCCTCCTGAGTGTGTAAACATGAGATCACCCAAAGTACATGAGAGAAAAGGCGTGCAAAGTTGCCCTAAAAAATCAAATGGCCAGCCAGACTAAGCAGTACACTGGCCAAGGGTTTGTCAAAGCCAAAAGAAGAATGCGTCCATCAGAGGGTTCAGCCTTCTGGTGCACAGGTGCGTGCAATCCTGAGGTATATACCTAGGAGCAGAATTGCTGGAATGGAATTTAGCCTATTTTTACATTTACAAGATAAAGTCAAAGGTGGTTGTATCAATTAATAACTCCTACCAACAGTGGATGAGAATTGCTCTTGTTCCACGTCCTTGCCAACACTTGATAGTCTCATGTGTTTTCAGGTTTAGCCATGTAGTGGTAATTGTGATTTTAATTTGCATTCCCAAATGATTAATGAAATTGAGGCCCTTTTCATATGCTCATTACTCATCTAGATTTCTGCTTTTGTGAAGCCTCTGCTTAATTTTATGGCCCATTTTTCTATTAGATTGTCTTTTTCTTGTTGATTCA